TTTGCTAATAGGCATTAATGAAATTTGTCGAATCTATACAACCAATGGATACTTTACAAAAGAGGCAGAATATCCATTTCAAAACAATCCAGGTTTTTTTCGTTTATTTTCTTCTTCAAGGTTACCATCTCTTCCTTTACATACTATTTAAGGTAATTTCCTCAAAAATTACAAGCCAAACTTCACAAGGAAACTGTGCTTTCCTCTCTGTCCAGAAATATCTATGCTTCTAGGGCAATTAGCATTTTGACACGGGAGGTCTTGGTTTCATACATCAGGTAGTTTCTGTGTTCTCTGGCTTCCTTGCCGTGGGATCCTCAACCATGCTTTTTATCTACAAGATTTCCATTTCATTCATGTATCAAACAGTTCTTGCCTGCATATAACGGAGCAAATGAATCCACTGCTTGCCACGTGTCACACATGTCACAGTGACTCACGTCCTGTGTCCTCTGGCTGCCACTCACCTGTTTTGATTACAGTGGCATGTGTTGATGTCCCTGATGCCCATGTGACTTCCACACTATCTCCTCCTCTGGGAAGGGCTGAGGCTCGTCAGGCCCACAGAGCAATGGTACCGAGCCAGCAGAGAAATGAAGTTGTGACTGTCACATAATAATGATACAGAGGCACCTGACATTGGCCACAATGGAAACATCTCTTGTGCAACGTTCCCTCAGATAATTTGTTAGCAGGAACACATATCACTATTCATTACTGCTTTCCACATCCTGCACTCACAGAGCACTCAGCACGAGAAAGATGAAATAGCTCTGCTAAATATACTGTCTCAATGCTAATGACATCTTGAGCTGCTTTTCAGTCACATCTCAAGATATTCAATGCTTTTTCTGCAACTTCTACACTTTCTTCATCAAATTTCTCTGAAAATGTGCAAAAACTGTGCCAAGTTCAAACCTACAGCAAGTGCACTCGAAATATATGCAGATGTTTTCTTCAACAAGTGATATAGTATATGAAGACAGAACAATGGAAAAGGAATGAAAGTGAAGCAGAAGGTTCATATGTTTTGATCAAAAATAACTGTAGATTATTAATTTTTAGCCAGATTCCACAGTCTTCATACACACAACTCCAACTGAAATTACTGAGATCCTTCTCTGTTTTGATCTTTAGAATGAAGTCCACAGCTCATAAGTGCCTAAGTACACAGCCAACCCACTGTATTTGTATCTAAGGCTCTATCTACAAACCTAAGCAATGACAAACATTCCTGGGGCTGGAATCTGTGGATGAAATAGATCACCTCGAGGGGCACATCCTATGGAATAAATGCCTATGCATATCCAAAGCAAAACAGGCTGCTGCTTTATGATGTTCAGGGAACTGGGTGGCAGGTTAAATGGCACAGAGCTTTATCTGTGCTGGAACATTTGTAAGCTAAATTTGGTTATTAATATTTTTGCTAAAAAGCTGAAGAAGTTGAAAACCCAGGAGTTACAGGATACAAAGAGTGGTAGAAAAGATATAATCTAGAATATATTATGAAAATATTCACAACACCATAGACCAATCCCCAAGAAAGCAAAATAAGTCATTCTATGCAGCATATATCATGATACACTGATATAAGAAACATAATCCTAAATGACATTCTTTCATTCTGAAGCTACAGAATAAACTCAGGTAAAGTTCTTGGTGTATATCTGAAGAACTGAGAATGATTTCTTTAAAATTGTAATAAAGATATGGTAAAATATAATAAATATATAAAGATATGATCAACCTTTTCATAAAAGATTCCCATAATCTGTTGTCTAAAATGAAATTCTAAATAGTGAAACAATCTGTAATCATAAAGATTATGTTTTATTTATTTGTTTTAACGTTAGTATGTATAAAATACTTCTACATATAAAGTTTCTACTGTGAATAGACATAGAAAGTGGACACAGGTGACAAGTTAATTTTCTGGAAAACAAAGGATGTGGGAAATATTTGTGGCATAATTTATCATACAGGTTTTTCTGCCTAAAAGCAGACATGTTTAGTAATCTAGTAAGTGTTGTCTTGCAAGGTTCTGTTATTATTTTTCTTAAATATCTTGAATCCTTGCTCTAAACCAGGCTCATAAATTACTAATTTTTAATAATTTAAATACTTGTTTTCTTCCAAAATATTTATTTTCTGTGAGAATTGTCAAAAAACTTTTTATTAAAATGAGACTTTTATCCTAATAATGAAAAGTTGTAAGCAACTCTGCAAGTTACTTTTATAGGAGAAAATCCTTGTCACATCTACAATGCCCTTGCTCCCAGAGGCCCTTGTGTGTGTGAGCTCTCCCAGATGCACAACAGCTTGCCAGCCTTCCTGCAGCCACTGCTGTCTATTCGAGTCACAGTGATCCCTCCTGCATGGATTATCTTAAAATAGCACAGTATAAATGAAATCTTGCAATTATCACAAACACCCAGGTGTTTGGTGTGGCAGGATGGCCAGAGGAGAGTCGCTAAACTGGCCTGGAAGATTTGTGTCCTTGATCAGTATTTTCTGAGGGCAATTGGCCACAGTGTCCGTACATACTGCTGCAGCAACACAGAGCTCCTGTGACTTACTAAATCCAGAAGAAAAATGTAGGAGTAGCTGGTCCTGCTGCTGTCCTTCTTAAACTAAATGATAAACAGCGCAGGAAGAATAGTGGTTGGAGGGAGGGGCTGAAGGAAAGGAGAGAGATCAATCTAAACCCTTGTTGGCAATCAGCCACACCAGCTTCACCTTGTCCAATTGCCACAGCCAGCCAGAAGGGCCTTCCCTCTTTTCTCTCTCTGCCTTTCCTGCAGTGAGTCACTCCTGCAGACATTATCTTGTCTATTCTGTTAGATAATGAAAGACACTGTGTATTTTCTTGTTCTATTTTCTGTTTACCATTATGTAGTGTACTAAGCCACTCATTATTGCTTTTGCAGATTTGTAAACATTATTCTCACACCTTTTTAAATAGACCTCTATTACTGTAATTATGAACATGTTGTGTTTGCACACAAGAATGGTATGGGTTACAGGGAAAAAAAAATAGCTGATCTTTCACAGTCATAGAAAAATAATATTCTTCATTTAAACTCAGGTTGGCTTAGTGGGGTGTTAATGACCTGAAGCTGACATTATTAACAGTATATCTTTACTTAAATGGCAACAGGAAGATCATATTAGGTTTCAGAAACATTGTATTTCTGCAGAAGCTGATTATTTAAGCCAGAGAGTCATGAATTGTGAAACTGATGATGCCATATATTCTCTTCAGTTGCTAAAAATGTCTCTAGAAATCAAACTATCAGTCACACTGAATATAAAAAAACCCCAAAACATTAGTTTTCCAGTGACAAGAGATTGTATAGTAAAGATTTGTAATCTCCCATGTACAGCAAAGAAAACACGAGAAGGATTTAGGCTGAGATTCAAAACCTAGACTTGAGTACTGTGAAGAGCAGAGTTTAGAAACTCATGGATCATGTTCTATCTGATAGTTCTTGTCTTTCTAGATTTGTTTTGCAGTTGAGTTGTGCCTTTGAAGGGATCTGTGTGCTTTGGCATCACAGTGACTGAAAAATAGAGATACTTAAAACATTCTGGGTGCCCTTGAGTTGCTTGTAGCCTTACAGTTCCTCAGCCCAGGAATCTTGCAGTAACAGGTGAAGAGTCTAAATGAGCTGTAAATGTCTAGGCCTCTATTAAACAACACCAAGGGAGAGGAAAAAGATCCCAGACTTACTGTCACCTACATGTTTCTTTCTGATTCTAATAGCTGCTTTAATGCTTTTCTGTCTGCTCTCTCTACTGAGTTGTCTTGTCTTTGATTAGTTTTCCTTCTGAGCATTTTATTTGCTGATGTACCAGATGCTCTTCTAAGTGACACATTCCAGCCCCAGTCACTGGATGTGACAGCCATGCTGTATCTAATCATGAAATGCTGTGCTCAGACACTTGACAGTGTTTGAAAATACTACTCTTGCTCTGAAAACAATATGAGGAATTTAGTGTGGGTGAATGTAACTAAACTGATAACTGGAGAATGATAAATTAAATAAGAATACTATTTTTTTGTGTTTTGAAACGAGTTTGGGGGTTTTTTTTGCAATTCAACTATTATAAGTGAAACTGCATGGAGTTTCAGACAAAAATATAAATCTCAGTTTTTTAACGACTGTAAAATCTGTAAAAGTCTTTTTTTTCTGAAGGATAGAATAAATCCTAGTTCAAGAAACCCTGTTGTAAGGAGAAAGGTGGCACTGAATTGAGGCTTACTGTGAAGCATCTTCAAGCATCCTGGAGAACTGAACTTGATTTTGCAATTCTGTTACTCTTATATCTGAGAGGATTATTTGTTTTTCTAGCAAAGCTTCAGGAAGCATATAATACATGTAGAGTGGAGTTGAGATTCTGTTAATCATGTACTTAGCATCTGTGTTTTTAGGACAGCACATACTTGTGTGATTTTGGCCCATCATTTGTGATCTGTTTGAGGATGCCTGAGAATAAAAAAGCTATATATAAATTCAAGATAATATTATCAGCTGAAGCTCTGTCAGATTCAATAGGCAAGAGTAGATAAACTGAGCTACTGTGTACCACTTTTTGGTTTTAATCTTAGAAAATAAAAGATTGCAAAAACCAAAAAGAACCTGTCTCCAATTTTACAGTTGCCCTATATCCCAGGTGCTCATTCTGCATTATTTTTCAAGATACCTTGTTTAGATGAGAAAAGAAATAATATTGAATTAATTTTACAAATTTTACAGAATAGACTGCTTTCTAGGTTGAAGAATATGAAGTAAAAACTGCATTCTGGATACGAAGTTACCATTAACAATATTGAAATTCTAGTGTTTAACAAACAAAGAACAATTCCAAAACTACTTCTCTGTAACAAAATCTTCAAATGCTCTATCTATACTTGCACAAACTATATCAATGAGAATTACATCAGCTATTAAAGCCTGTAATTATCTCGCCAAGTAAAGAATGGAGGTGGGTGTACTTACTATGTCAGCACTATGGCCACAGCATCATTTAGGACACTCTCTCCAAACAGGAGCGTGTATAAATCTGTATCCACATGCAGCTCATGGAAAATAGCAAGAACTGTCACTGTATGGAAATAAAGCAAAGTGAGTTCTTATTTTCATGTTGCTCTGGCAGTTCAAGAAATAAAGCAATGTTAGAATATGAGTTTTGAGAAGTCTAGTCCTATTTATTGCCTAAGTGGTTAATAATAAGTTAAAAGGGATCAGCTAAAGTATACAAGATCCTTAAATTCATTAGGTTTATGAGTTTTGGTGTTTCAGCTGAGTTAGGAAGACACTTTCCCTCTCACACAGAGAATCATCCATATATGAAAACGTCACAGCATGTTTCACTGTGCATAAGGGACTGTGATCTTGTGACTACAGAAAAAACAAGGGTGATGAAAAGATGGGCTTTTCCATGGACTTTGTGTGTAATGCGTAGTGGTTTACCTGTTTTAAGAAGGATTTAATAACACTTATCCATCTATTATGCTTGTTCACTGAAGAATATGCATAATAACTTACCCTGTCCTGAACCACTTTCCCCTTGGATTAGCATATCTGTGGTCATGCAGCCTTCTGGTCCAGATCAGGATATCTGACACCTGTAACCCTTTGCCTTCAGAATAGCATTAACTAACGTTCCTTCCTCCTTCATGAGTTATACCCTCTATTTGATTTTTAGTTTACCGGTGTAGTAGAAAAAGAATAGAGTGTGTTGAATTTAAATTAAGTTGGGCAAAACATTTAGACAAACATCCTCAGGGGCATTTGGACACTTGGCTCATATTCAGGAAATAAGGTCCTACGTTATTAACTTATGCCTTATCTGTTTTATGCCTCAGTTTTCTTACCTGCAAACAGGGTATCACAGTCCTTCCCAAGATCTACCTTGCACTTCATAATGATAAAACCGATTCTTTATTTCTCACAGTAATCTCCAACTGAAGAAGACTGTTTATGTTCTGTGTTGGTATTATTTTATCTTTGCATGGGTGAAGCAGAGCTTTCTCTTTTCAAACAGAATTTAATGTAAAGGCCCCCAGTTACTTGTATGGTTAAAAATTACATGATAACTCACTGCTTCACTGGCACTCATTCTAGTACATAATTGTGCAAATGACTCAGTCCTCAAGTTCCAGGAATCCCAGAGTTTAGGAGTGCCTCTGGGATGCCATGTTCACCTCTGACATTTTAGATAAGACAATTATATACTTTTACATTCACATGACTGCTGATAAATCACAGAAAAACATGAACAGCTAATGACGTTTTGTCTTAATAATATTTCTTGGAACTTTGAAATCATTACTCCTTAGATTTTCTAAATGACATTTAAATATCTGTGTAATCTAAAAATCTGTTTATAAACCCAAAATAGATTCTCAGTTCTCCTGTGAGATTTTATGTCAAAGTGATCTCTGTTGATGTGTTATCTTTGAAGAATTTTGGAAGTGTTATCCTACAGAAGACAATTTAGGGGATGTGTGTAGCTGAACATTTGCTGATATAGCTATATTTAAATTAGCTAGTTATATTTAACCATCCTGGTAACCTCACCCATCTACTCCCACTGCAGCTATAATTTAAACTAGGAAAAGAGTTCTTTCCCCAGAATAGCTCAAAGGTGTAGGAAGGAGTTTTATTGACAAACGATATTTTCTTGGTTCACCAACATCTATATTCAGGTTTTTTCCTGATTAGCAATGCTGACTTAATGTGCTAAATGTGGACCCAGTTTAGTGCCCTGTTCTTTGATGTCATTGCCATAACAACAGACTTGTTTTCTAAAACTATTTGCCACTTCTAGCTTTTGTTTATTGGCTAATTAGTTTGGACTCTCATTAATAGTCCCTGTGGTAATGATAGAAGGAAAAGAAAGCAGTAAAGTCCAAAGTCCTGTTGGTGTGTACATGTAGCAGGCCAACCAGATGCCTACACATTCCTCTCCTTCTTCTTTCCTCCTAAGTAAACAGATTTCTTTTGCTTTCTTTCTCAACCCTACCCCAAAAATATGACTTCAAATCTTTTCAAATGAAAGCAAAATAATAAAGCAAGAGACACAATAATGCATTGATTGTCCAGTTCACCGAGTTTTCAGAAAGTATCTTCTATTTCAAATGTTTTCTCGTTTCCAGTGGAGGTTATAGGATCTTGTTTACAGAACTACCTGTCCCTGACCCAAGGATTCTGGTCTCTGCTCTGTCCCTATGTTTGTCTGGCCCAAGACACAGCAAGCTTCAGCCATATCACTGCTGACAGATATTTTTCTGATCTGTTTTTAAGGAACTGAAGTGATGCTGGTTCCACAAATCCCAAGGGAGAGTAACTTACTCTTTAGTATTCATATTTATAAATGCAGTTATTTCTGAATGATGTCTAACCTAAATCTCCCCTCCTGCTCTTCAAGTCTGTAATTTCCATTCCCAGCCTCATGAGACACAGATAATTTGTCACATTTATTCAGTTTTTCTTTCCAGCAGCATTTTGCCTATTCAAAGACTCATTTCAGACATCTCCTCCCTAAACTGACTCACTTTCAATCTCCTCCGTTTAGTAAGGTTTTCTTGCCTTCTAATCAGTGCATATCTTTCCTGAAATACAGTGCCTAAAACCAGACACCAGTATTGTAGTTGACATTTACTGTCAAGAAATAAAATGAAAAGATGCTGTAGAACATGTTAATAAATCCTATTTTCCTTTTTTTTTGCTATGTATTGGTACTTATGACTCATTTTCAGGTTGTAAACCTCAAATCCTTCTCATAAGTGAATGCTCACTTCTTGTCTGCTATCTATAAGGTTGATTTTTTCTAAGTGTAGCATTTATTCTTCTTGATTTTAAATCATTACAGGAATCATATTGAGTTCTAATCACAGTTTTCAAAGTGTTTGCAATCTCCTTTATACATAATATTATACATTGAAGAAACCCCCTCTGTTGCATTAGCCAACTCATTAATGAACATTGTAAATAGTATCTGCATAACAACAGAGAACTGCAGAATCTTTGGCACACCCACCCTGTTTAAGAGCTCAAGAAAACATTTGCACCTTGTTTTGACAACCAGCATGTAGTCACTTCCCCCAGATCACATTTGCCTTCATTAATTATGAGAATCCATGGGTATAGGTCAGAACAAACACGATAAAAGGGACATGACATTCTGCTACGGAAGAAAGTTAATTTAAATTGCTCTCTGGATAGAATCACACCCTAGGAATAGTCATCGTGTCCAAAGTAGACACATCATGTTTTGTTTGATGATTGACTTTAAACTCAAGGGAATTAATTTTAAAATAATCATATATCACAATATGTCTAATCTGTGAGAACTTTAAGGAAAGACCATAGACACTGCATTGCAGTTAGCACAGCCTCCCTGGCTTTCTGAAGGCACTTTGAGGAACAGTAAGTACGGCTTGGGTTTTGTGTGGAAACTACTCAAAGACTTGCACAATTTAATAGATACAATATGTATTATAAAGACACCAAACTACTTTTCATTAAAGTACACAATACCTCTTCATCTCTTATTTCAGTGTAAGTATATGAGGACAGGGATAAAGACAGGTAAAGAACTTGATGGCTAAAGGGACAGGTAATTGGGGGAGCACAAACACCTTTTGTGGCAGTAGAAAACTGACGCCAGTGGAAATAATGTGTATGAGAGCTGCTGACTCAGAAAGAGTTGTGACCTTCACTTAAAAATTCAGAGATGGGAAGCAGGAAATAGTGAAGCATTTAAGATTTTCACAGTACTTGTGCCAGCAGAAATCTGATTCACTTCTTCCTTAACTTCATGGCCTTAGGGAACATCTGCTAGATGATAAGCTTAGCATGCTTTCAGTTGTACCCAAGTCATAACAAGTGTCTGTGGAGCTGGTTTGTGAAAGGTAACTTTTGACATATGTAGAAACAAATGGGCTTGTTATTGGTCCCTGTAAAAAGTATTTGTGACTGAAATATCAGCAAACTACAACAATCCCTAAACTAACTGTATCCAATGCTACTTTGCTGTTATGTTTAAAAAGAATAAGGAAACCCAGAAAATAAATGAGACCATTATATAAAGTACTGGTATTATTGTACCTCAATCCTCTGACTAGAACTATTAATATCTTTCTCATGGGCATAAATTCTTTTAGGAGGGCAGTGTCAAACAGGAAGAAAATAAGATGAGAGAAATTTAACTTATATTTCCTATTGACTTGGTCTAAAAATAAAGATTTCAATTTAAGTTATAGTCTTCTTTCCCTATTAAGCAGTCACACCACTCACAGAGTAGTTCAGTGGTGAAAAAGAAGAAAGCATACAAATATTTTAATTAAAACCACATTTATAAAGTCTTACATAACCAGTATATGAAATGTATTATGTTGTTGTATTTGTACATTATGCTTCTTAATATGAAATCCTTTGATTTTATGAGAAACGGAAACTGCTCTTTCTGATAAATATCCAATTTTATCAATAACAAGAGCAGTGCAACCCACAGCTCCAGTTCAGCTGTAACCATAGTAACTCCAAATAGGGAAGAGCCTTGTGATTATCAATGTGACCAAAGGTAAGGGAGTTCATATAGCTCAGAAATAGCCGTGCTCCGGCAAACCCTTGTAAGGTAAAGCTGTTTTCTACACTTGAAATGTCAGAAGTGAAAAAGAAAAAGGAAGTGCTAAAGACACATGAGATGTGTCTGGATGGGAAGGTCATTGCACAGAACGTGTTAATGGCAGCAGCCAAGACAATGTGCCAGTCGCACTGTTGGGTTATTTTTGGTGGCTGAGGCAGAGCTCAGATCTTTCCATTCACGTGCCCGTTTTGTTCTGTCCGTTCATTTGCTACAACCACTGGCGCCCTGGAGCAGCCGATTGCTGGGGCTCGTTGCTGACCCGCCTTCCCAGCACAGCACAGCTGCTGTCAGAACACCCGGGCTGTGCCCGCCCAGCAGAGGGTTTCATTTGCCAGGTCTCTGTTGCTCAGGGGCCAAGCGCTGGGGGCTCCACGCCCACGGCAGCACCTTTGCCACACTCTCACTGCTGCTTTTGACGAGTGACATATGCAAGAGGATGTAGGAAGGAACTGCTCCACCCCCTTTGAGGGGATCACAGCAAAACACTCCCAGAGTCAGGTTCCATTAGAAATCAAAATGCAATACTAACACGAGGAAACCCTTTCTACAGTGAAAGAGAGAAATCTGTGCTGTTTGACACAGATGAAAGAACAAGATTGATCAGAATAAAGAAAAATGTAAATACTGGTCATGTTTAAATCAAAGATTGAGGAAGTGATAATTTGGGAATTTTAGAATTCTGTTTCTTTAAATTAATTCTCCCACCTGAAGTCTTAAAATAACAACCTTTTCCTGCTGAAAATAATAAATTATTGAAAGGAGATATTCTCTGTAAAACGAATTATTTAGTTGAAAGTAACTTTCTTTTGTCCGTGAAGTTTCTAACTTTCCTGTCTAGAGACATGAAAGTTCTTTTGAGGCATCCCAAAGCATCACTGATGTTTAGGGATCACAGTCTATAATGCAAAACACAGTCCCAAGTATATCCAGTCTCAAATTAATTTCTTAATCTTAGTTCAAGAGCTAGTTTTCTATATAAAGGAACACACAGCATGTAAGAGCAACTCTTCTGAATTATTTTTATGCAAAAATGTCTAGATTAATAATCTTCAGATAACTTTCAAAACTAAAACCTACAGAGTGCTATGATATTTTTTGTTCTTCTTAACAGTATTGGTAACTTTAACTGGCAGACATTTGTTCACTGCCCTGCTAGTAAAAGTCTTTATTTATCACATAAACATCTACCAGTCATCTTTACAATTACAAATACAGAACTCAATCAAACCAACTTCTGTCAACTGATCAGTTTTAGCATATTTTGAGACTTAATTGCTTCCAACAGCCAAGGGAAATTAAATCTCTTTTTAAAATGAGTTTATAATCCTACACAGTGAAAAATTAAATGAAAATCATGTAGGAAATCTGACAGGAATTTATTATTTCATCTTAAGACACTAAGTTATTGTTCTAGCCTACTTCTATAATGCTGACATTTTACCAAAGATTTCTTTAAGAAAACAAAATCAAAACCTAGTTATCACATATAAAATCATTAGACTGATTATTTTATGCTCTAATACATATCAGTTCTCCATGGCACAAAATTTTAGCTTTAACTTTTGGAATGTCAGTGAGCTCTTTACATGGCTTGAGATTATAATTCATTAGCAGATCCTGCAACACAATGAAATATTTTCAGCAGTCTCCACCATTTAATTAATGACAAACTTAATTCAAAATTCTCAAAGTCTTTGAGTGGTTGAAATTTATGGATAAGGTTAGTGAACACATGGAACAACTTAGACTATTGTGAGTAGATAACAGAGGGAGCAAGACTGAACATTAAAAAACCTCTTGGACATGAGCAGACACTATATAAGTAAGGAGTAATTGCAAACAATATTAATCAATGACAGTTTGTCACACTAAAAGCAGTTTTCTCAACTGCAGCATTAGATTTTTAAGCCTATTTAAAAATCTAGGAAAAGAAACCCTTTTCACTTCTTATTCCTTACAGTCTAAGAGGAGCTTCTGTTTTGTTTTCTTTTTTTATTTCGTGGTTGTTTCAGATTAATCAGTGGTGATTTAGTACCATTCTAATCAAAATCAGTGCATTTGTCTTATACATTACTCCTCATAAGTCAACATGTTAATTTTGTGAAACTAAATAGTATTGGACTGGAAAATGGGAAAAGAAACCAAGTCAGCTGCAAAACCCTATTCATGGCACCATCAAGAAACATACTTAGAAATTGTAAGCACCCTTTTTATTCCATAAGCAGTTTATTTTCCAAGGTTTCCCTTGTGCTTTCAGTTTCTGTGTTTTTCTCTTGCTCTGAGGATAGGCTCCAATCTGAGCTGAATCTTAATAATGTAGCTGGGTGATAAGTGGCAGCATATTGGATGCTTGGATTAATTTGAGAATAACAACTTGATGCAGCTTTTACAGCAATCTTGCAACAACTGCTTTTGTGGAAATAAATTGTTTTAGACCATATTTTTAAGCCATCAGAACGATAAATCACAAGCCAAAAGTATCTTGTTAAATATTGAGAGATCATATAGAGAATGGAAAAAAATTGTAGAACAAATGGCTTTTTCTCATTTCTTTTCAAAGCCAGGGATTTGAAAGCTTTATTCCTAAGTTTCTCAGAGAAGTTTCTCAAGGGTAGTTAACACTAATGTGCATGACAAAATGTTTTCTGTTACATTGCCTGGAACAGCTCAGCTGAACATTTTGAAAAATTCCAACATACCCTTGCAAAATTTGTATTTTGTCTCAGCAGACAACGTATTAAAAAATCCTTTTTTCACCTTGCCCTTCACTGTTACAGATGCAAATAGCGATACCTTCCTTTTAATATTAGAGTACTCTTATTAACATTTTCAACATAACAAAACCTGGAAAAATCTACAAAACCTAGGCTTACTTTGAGATAAGCCCTGTTTTGATTAGAAGGATGGACTAGAAGACCCCCAGACATCCCTTCAAATGTAAGGAATTCTGTACTTCTGGGATTCCGAAACTCACTGAGTCTGCTTCCGAGTCTGCTTCCCAGACTTTGCTATTTACTGCAACTTCAGGCTTTAAATCTCATGTCTACAAATTCAAGTAAATCTGTTGGTGTGGGATTTTTTAGAATTGTATTTATATGAGCACTGCATTCAAGCCGTAACTGATGCCTTATAAACAGTATTCATGTGGCCAAATCTGAAAGCTTCGTTCCCGTATCTTTAAGCTGGGTTAGATCACACATGGGTGTGATGTGGAGATTTTTAACTGTGAGGCCCCAGGTTACAGCAGTTGCCACAGCAATCAGCAGGGAGGTGTCCTGGAGATCGGAGGACATTTTTCCAGTCTTTCCAGCAACTCCAATTATGAAGTTTGTGAGCTAAACCTAGGTAAACTAGTCACTGAAACAAACACAAGGGATCTCTGGAGCTGATTTGACTTGTGATTATCAGAATATCAGACATTTAACAGCTATTGGAAGAAAAGATTTCTATGGGACTTACAATTGTGATGTTCTTATTTACTCTTCTGACTTTTGAAAAAGCAATTTATTTAAATGGTTACCTGGATCTGTGGCAGACATCAGTGATCCAAAAAATAAACAGTCAGTGAAGTGGAATTCCCATTGCTTTAACTGGCCCATGTGTACCATGGCCTTCACAAAGCCATACATTATCAACCTGTCAGAGGAAAGATAAGACAGGCATTCAGACAGAGCATTTAACAATTATGCTCAATTTACAGTATTAAACAGGTTCTTATTCTCTTTAGCTTCTTTTCAGTAAACTTATCACACGAATACTGAACATAAGCAGTTATGTAAAAATTTTATTTCCTGTTCAACTGTCAAATATTGTATTGAAACACCAGAGACAATTCCAAAGCAAAGGTTTTTCTGAATAATTGTCATCTGCTGGTAGCAGAGGACAATGGTTTGAGCTGTTTATTTTTCAAAAGGAAAGATAATGTAAATGTAAGAAGACATTATTAAGACTAATTTGTCTAATATTGAAGAACATTTAAACAAAGGCAGTTCCACTATCAGCTCTGTGGCTTGCTCTAATATTTCTAAATGAATAGTTTTATTCTATGAGCTTTTAAATGTTAGCTGTACTCAAAGTTCCAGATAAGGTCTCCAAATGAGACATATTTAACAACTCACAGTGACAGTGAGGCAACAAAGTCACACTTCAAAATGCACTGCTACATCCTCACCAGTTTCACAGGAAATGTTATCACTGGTTTATATAACCAGGCAATGCTATCTGAGATGTGAAGTCTAGTAAGAATCTTGAAATACCTCGAAAAAAAGAGATTCAGTTGTTGTTAGAACCTGTTGTAGATTTTCACAATTTTTTATGTTTCCAATCTAGTTAATAATAAATCTAATTGCATTCCATCCCTTTTCCATAAATACAACACATAAATTGACAACTGGGCTCTTCTAACTATGGACTTTAAACCAACCATTTAAGCAGGGCTCCATGCATGCACATACTGAGCTATGTTTTGCCCTCAGCTACACTCCTAAGGTGTTACCAAAGCTGCAAAAATGCAGAAGATCTGAGGGACATAGGAAGTGTTACTTACCCAACAGTCTGAGAGTTGATTACAAATTGCTTTCAAATACTTTACCAGTCTTACTGTATTCCACTAGGAGGGCAGCAGATAAGTCTCCACAGCATTCCCCAGTGGTCCTGAGTATCTGTATTTACAGGAGCTGCCTAGCAAACAGTTCACCACCAATTGCCCTAAAACTGTTTATCCAGCTATGGTTCTCCTTGATTGATGAGTTCACTTTCTCTCCATTGCCAAAGAACAAAGACTCAGGACCCTGCAGTGAACTTAGTCTTTTTATCCCCAGGACAAATTTGTCAGCTTTCAGGAACGAATCCTTCAAAACCTGACTGTGGTGCTGCTATCCCAATTTGCAATTGTCTCAAAAGCCACAGCAATGAGAGTGAGCATGGGGATGCCTTTTAGAAATAATTGCCTAGACCTGCTTGCAGTTTTGACCAGACATACTCTTCTTCCTCATTTAAAAAAAAATTAAAATAATAAATAAAAATAAATCTTGACTATTTGTAAAATTTAGTAATGATATTGAAAAGTTTGATCTCAGCTGGATACCTGAGCTCCAAATGGTGGTGCTATTACACATCATCCAGTACCACACAACATAACTGTTCTGAAAACTTCTCAGTTGGACTTAAGGTTAGTTCAGTGTTGCAAATTATATTTGTGAATAATGGATTTGGTCATGGATTTGGAACATTATGAGGCAATACAACAGAAGAATAAAACTCAGATGAGCTTTGCTGCAGGAGACCTGACATTTTCTACACCCAAACAAATTTCTTTTAAATGTGGGAAGGAGCTCATCAAGCTAGAGCAAGTATTTTGCTACTTCAACAGGAAAAGAGAGAGGCAGTAATGTAATGAAACACAGGAGAATTCAGAATTTTCCAGATTATGCAAGTCTGGAACTTACAAAGTGTCTCATCTCTAAAAAATTCTACATAGAATGCTGTCATTACACAGTAGAGGAGACATCATATAAATATTTGACTTGCTGAAGTAAGAATCTTCTTCTGGGAAACTGAACTTTAACTACCATAATTTCCAGTACAAATCGGCAAGAAAACCACGAGTCCTCAGCACAAAGGCACAAACTAAACTGCAGACTGACAAAAGCTGAAGTAAATAACAGACACTGAACAACCAGAACAAAAACTCTGCAAGGCTTTAATTATTCTGAGCACTGGGTTGTCCTTACAGTTTTGAAGCTGGACTGAATTTTGAAGCTTGCTGGTGTGAAAAAGGGAGGATGAATCTCCATTTGTAAAGGGTCCAGTTTTTTTACTACTACAGTTCTGCTGCTAATAACCTTCTATTGTCGTGCACTGAGGAAAGGAGTTTGGAAAGCACCTTGGCTTTCTGGGAACTGCTGGATTTTTCCAGTGAATTTGTTTATAAAGCTGCTCTCTAGGAAGGTTACTCTGAGACTGGGACATTCTTGAAACAGCTGCTGTTTACTTGTAGAGGGGAAAAAGAGAGAGCCCTCTCCTAAGGCCTTTACAAACTGATTGCTACACACAAAACCATGGCAGGTTGGTTTATAGAATGCTGATTCTTTGATAAGTAGCTGAATCCTCACATGCAAGCTAAAATGGGAAAACCTACCAGTTCTAAAAGAATCTACTCTTAATTTAAAGCTGCAGGGGACATAATTAGAATGTAAGAAAACCTGCTAAGTGAAGATGTACAACACACCCTGTATCCTCAGTACAGACAGCCCCATCTGCCTGAGGATTTTATCAGCAGTTGTATTTCTTCAGTTTTGCTGTTCATTGCATCATCACTGCTGAATCTCACTAAGGGTCTTTATTGTGTTAAAGGTTTTAAAAGCGTAATTTCTGATTTAAAGTGTTTGTGCAGTTATGTTGTGTAGCATGAAAGAGAGTTGTAATTTAAATCTTTTCTGCAAAATGTTTTCTAGTCTGCAGAGAATTTTTCATCTCATAGTCCAACTCCCTAAAGAATCCTACTTTATCTAGACGTGATTATCTTGTAGCTGGAAGCCAGTTGAACATAGTTACAGATTGTAATCGTGCAAGCAAAAGATGAAAAAATATTTCTTCCTTCACATTTCTTCCTTTTCTCAAGGAATAGCAACATTAATAAGCCAAGAATATATTTGAAGTAACATAGTGATTGATGGATACCATAATAGAAACAAAAAGTCACTTATCCAAATTTAAAATACATGATGAAAAATATAAATAGTAGAGATAAAAATTAAATACCCACTCCTTTATTTTGATCTTTCTCTTTCTACTATATCAATATATTTTTATAACCTTTTCCTATACAATGAAATGCTTCACATGAAATGTCCTGGCTGCAGTGATCCATTATTTCAGAGTGTTCTATGTAGTATTACATCCTTCTTTTAGTCATCTTTTAAATCAGTTTTGTCACTAGGAAGGGTAATATCATGGGTTTTTCTTCAAAAACTCATTTGCCAACTAATCAAAGCAGGAGAAAACCTCAGTGAAGTTTGTCAGGTAAGAATAAAGTGATAGTGAAGTTACCTTAAGTTATTCTATATAAATCACAGAAGAAGAAAACCCCTCTGGCCATAGAAATAACTGAGAGATCAGAAAAGAACCTGGCTTTAAAAACCCACTGCTTACCCAGTCACCTGGGGTACAGTGACTGCCCAAGAGCTGAGCATTAGAACTACACACAAAGCTTGAGCATCAGTGGATCTGACAAACAGCTCCAGGGAGCACAGCTGGGCTCCTGGGAGAGCACGGGCTGAGGTGCAAAGTGCTTTTGCTTGGCATTTCCCACTGAGCAATGGAAAAGATCTGCCACCAACGTTTTGTTAGTAGTCACAGATTATCTTTTTGCTTCTTCAATCAGAAGCTGTGATGGGAAGGGTAAATGGAGAGAAACACGTTTTACACCTCAGAGATATGATGTATGTGGGTGTGAGTAAGAAAGGCTGTGTTCTGGTAACCATGGGTCTATAGGTAGCTTGGCTTGTTAGATAGTCCTGTGGTATTGGAGTTTTGGGAAAGTGATGGCTGTTCAGTTATTCAGTCAAGAAAACAGGTACTGAATGTAAATAAAAAAAATCCAGCCCAGGTTTCTGTATCAGTTAATTTGGGGGCCACTGGTAACAGAAACAGTGAAGAGATCTGAAATAGGCTTCAAAATATTTATCTTAAGTTCTATAACCCATCTTCATTGGTACAGAACCACAGTGAGTGCCTGTCCTTACTGAAACACATGCACACGTGTCCAGTGCTGACTTCAGCACAGTGCATGTCTGCAAGATGCTGCTCTGTCAGCCCCGTGTCAGCCAAGCAAGTGCAGAGGTTACAGCACTCACTGGATCCTCATCCCTTGCTGTATCTCTGCCCCAGCTCAAGGCTGCCATGCCCAAGTAACCCACGTCATTTCACTTTAGGAAAGACCAACCATATTTGTGCTTGGTGTATTAGGACATGCTTGAATGAAACTATGCAGAATGCCCCAGTGTCTGAGCCTTTGCTTAATTAAAACCAACTTCCTATGGATTTGTACTCATGAAAGTAAAGAATTGCTACATGTTGGTATAAATTTTATTTTGGTTAGTCTTCTGTAGTACCTTCAACCATGGGAAATATCTATTAAAATATAGAGGTGAAAAACGCTTTATCCAGCTTCAAAATTTCAAAATGCAATTGTAGATTTTGCTGATAAATGCTAACAGTGTAGCTAAACTAAGTGAAGAGTGAAAAAAAGGGAGTCAGGTGTGAACATACATGAGCTGAAAAGTTAGTTGAGATCACCAATCATTGCTGGAAACTGCCAGTAAATGGTATTTCATGGGGTTTTTTGGGGTTTCAAAAAAGTCTCAAATGATATTTCATGTTTGTTTTAATTTGTTTTTAAAATTTCAAATCTCTTTTTTTCAGACTGACTTTCAGATAGCCTTTACTGTACTGTAGTTTTACAACATTTTGCACTGAAGACATACAAACCAATTTAACACCTCTCACAACTGCACAGTATTATTTAATGTGTTTTTAATATTTCTCTAATTAGTACAACACAGCTTTGGGATCCCTGTGTTCCTGATCTCCATTTAAATTAGAGCCATTAAGCATTATATATGTACAAACCTGAA